GAAAATCAATCTATGAATGAAGGACAGTGGGGATAAATGAAAGGTCCAACTCCTCCATTTACAGAGTGCTCTTCATTGCTGGAATCTATAATACGGCTTCTATGAATAAAGAAGGAAAAAGAAAGGGCAGGAATAATCCGCATAATGGACAGGTCCAGTGTCTCGTAATAATCCTTACAGCATCGGAAGACTATCTCTGCAGGGGTATGGGGGGGCATAGGGCAGAAGATTTAAATCAAGACAGCAGCCACCCGCACAAGGGCCACTTCTCATTAAATGTAAGTACTGTCCCTTGTGCTGATTTATTTTTAAAAATTAACTAAACTTAGGCTTTAAGAAATTAAACTGAATAATCTATATTTAATAATGCTCCGATGGATTAGTACCATATAAATAATAACTATACAACTCTTATATTTTATGTGAAACTAAAAAAAATATGTATATTCAGTAATACAATTGAGGAATAGTACTGTATAAATTACAACAATATGACTCATATGCTTTATTTGACATTAAACTGGATTATGTTTATTTAATAATACATCTAAAGAATTGCACTGTATAAATTCTAACTATACAAACCATTATTACTTTCACTGAACAGCACTTGTTAAATTTATATAAATACTGTTCTAAACAAAGAATATAATGATTGAGCGTTAAAAAACAAAAAAATAAAAAGATGCACAAGGCAACACCCGAACTTGGAAATTCCCCATTTGAAATGCTTGAACTTTTTTTTTTTAAACCAAATTAACAGCTAGATTGAGACTACATCTGCACAGAGGAAGAAAACAAATAATCCAGCAAATAATAAAAAAAGGCTTGTGAATGGAAAGAATTGCTGTGCTATTGTATGTCACTCCCCTGGAAGTGAGTGGTCTTATTTTTATCATTTTAACATAGAAACTTGGGTGAATAATGGGAATTACAGCCCCCCCGTGGAGTTGAGTTTCATTGACATCTAACTGGTCGGCTAAAAAGCATGCCTTGAGAGTGCAAAAAAAAAGAGGCATCACAGTCTCCCAGCAGGTCGCCAAGCCCACGTCCAATTAGAATGCTGGGATGCTGAGTGACATTGCACACAGCAGAGCAAACATAATTGATTTTTTATTTTCACTCCACACTGCGGAGCGTGAACACAGTTTCCCATTTAAGATACTTTCAATGCCATTGGTGTTGGAGCATCTCATTCTAAATCCCGAGGCAGGGGATTGTGTGATTGTAGATCTGCATTAACCGACAGCTGACTTCACTTATCAAAATTCAGACCACTGGTTCTGTGCAGATGGAAAGCATTGCAGACAATCTAAAATAGTGTGTGTATTTATCATTCTGGAAAAATGACCTTTCCTATTGCCTGCTGTAACAAATCATCAATTCTTTCATTATCTTGGTGCAATATGGCTGCTGCAGTTGACAGAAGTCATTCTGCTTTTACATACTTTAAAAAAAGGAGGCCTAGCAAAATGAATTGGTTGTAAAGTTTGTTTGTTTTTTTACTAAATATTAAACATGTTATACTTACCTGCTGTGTGCAAAAGTTCCCAGAGTCCCAGAGCCTGCTCTGTTGGGGTCCCCTGCCAGCTCTCTCAGCTCCTTTGCTTCTGTGTCTGCCCCCCCTAGCAAGCCGCTTGCTATGGGGGCTGAGGTGCTTGCTCGTGACTTGACCTGTGTGTGTCCATAGACACACATACCATAGCTCAGCCCCCGCCCCGCTCCCCCCTTCTAGAATTTGACTGACAGCATGGCCCCCACTACTCTCAGCCAAGTCTGTGAGAGTGAAGAAAGGGGCACAGCTAGGGGCGGACTGACCATTTGGGAACTCGGGCACTGCCCGAGGGCCCTGGGTCAGTAGGGGGCCCAATGAGATGCTCCTGGTACCTTTTTCATAGGCTTTTTTGGGTGTGTGGGTGAGGACACAGGGGCCCCATGATCCCCTATTGCCCGGGGCCCCATGAGTTGTCAGTCCGCCCCTGGGCACAGCACTGGATTGATACAAGACTTCGGTAGGTCTAAAGAGGGCTGAGGGGCTCCTTAGATTGTTTTTTGTACTAAATATTAAACATGGTATACTTACCTGCTGTGTGCAAATGTTTTGCACAGAGAGGCCCAGAACCTGCTCTTCTGGGGTCCCCCCGCCAGCTCTGTCAGCTCCTTTACTTCTGTGTCTGCCCCCCTAAACAAGCCGCTTGCTATGGGGGCTGAGATGCTTGCTCATGACCTGAGCTGTGTGTTTCCATAGACACACATACCATAGCTCTGCCCCCCCCCCCTCCAGAATTTGACTGACAGCATGGCTCCCACTACTCTCAGCCAAGTCTGCGAGAGTGGAGAGAGGGGCAAAGCATTGGATTGATACAAGACTTCAGTAGATCTAAGGATCTAAGGAGGGCTGAGGGGCTTTGCTTTTGGAACATTTTTTTACCTTAAGGCCTGGTTCACTCCAATGCATTTTTTTGTGCTTTCTGCAGAAACGCACTACAGCCCATTTAAAAGGGTTTCCTGTGGGACTGTAAAGTAAACCGGTCTCCTAGCACCAGAAAACCAGTACAGGCTTATGCTCACATTCGTATGCATTGCTCACATGCTCATACTTCTGAGCGAAGAAGCAATAGACGCGCCATTACAGGTTATCATGTTCACATTTGTGCGTGCATGCACCCATACAAACGGGCACGCGCATTCTAAATAGTATGCACACTTGGAGCCCAATGGCCTATTTAAACTGATCTGTCAATATGAGCACTTTCTGAATGGTCTTCAGATTGTTCCTGTGACCTGATCCGCTGGACCTGCTTACCTGTGTATGATCCCTTGGACTTTGCTTCTGCTCCTGCCTAAACTCTGTTCACCTGATTACTCTGACCTCGGCCTGTTTCCTGGGCTTGCCTTTGCTTACTGTTTCTGTACGGCTTTGCCCTGGTATAAATCATTAGTAAGACCTCATCTGGAATATGCAGTTCAGTTTTGGGCACCAATTCACAAAAAGAACATTGGGGAACTGGAGAAAGTACAGAGAAGGGCAACCAAACTGATAAGAGGCATGGAGGAGACCAGCTATGAGGAAAGACTAGAGGAACTGAATTTATTCTCTCTTGAGAAGAGGTGGTTAAGGGGGGATATGATCACCATGTATAAATACATCAGTGGTTCATGTAGTGAACTCGGTGTAGAGTTATTCACTCTGAGGTCATCACAGAGGACACGTCTGGAGGAAAAGAAATTTAATCTCCAAACACGAAAGGTTTCTTCACAGTGAAAATGTGGAATAGACTCCCTCAAGAGTTGGTTCTGGCCAGCTCAGTGGATTGCCTTAAAAAAGTCATGGATTATTTCTTGGATACACAGAATATAACTGGATACTAACATTTATAGGTAAAGTAGATCCAGGGAATATCCGATTGCCTCTCGGGGGATCAGGAAGTAATTATTTTCCCTCCAGGAGCAAATTGGGTCATGCTCTTCTGGGTTTTTTTTTTGCCTTCCTCTGGATCAACTGTGGGTATAGGATTATAACTTTTTTTTTTAATGATTGAACTGGATGGACTTTTGTCTTTTTTCAGCCAGACTAACTATGTAACCATGTTCCTGACCTTGGTCTGCCTTCTGGACTGCTCTGCCTGTGCATTCGGTTCCTCGCTGCCTAGTCGTTCGGTGCGGGATTCAGAACTGAACACAGGGGGACTGCCGTTCTCCACCAGAGACAGATTGCTGGCCTACTGCTGCAGATTCTGCACATCAGTTGAGCACAGCGGTGATGCCACTCACCACACCGGAATTGCATCTACTTATGCCATAATTATTATAATTACATAATTCTCTGCATACCCTGTCGTGGCGCCAGTGGCCTAGCGGGAGCTCATAGGTCAACAAGCCATTTCTTCCCCCTCTTACTGCAGGTGTTAAAATGAAATAGTTGAAGCTTACTACTCATGACTGAATAATTTGTTAAACGTTGCTAATTGAGTATTTCTATTTTACCAGTTTTCTGCTTTTATGTATTAACTGGAATTGTATATCCTAAACCCATTATTCCTGTAGCCTACTCTTTTGAACAAGTTTAATATGGAGGTGTTACTAAAGAATTGTGTCTCTTGCATTATTATTCTATACTGTTGAAATATGTCTGAACCCAGAGTGTCAGTGGTGTCGGGAGGCTTGCAAGGTCAGGGCAACCACTGGGGACAAGCAACGGATCAAATTCAAAATCCTAACACTGATGTACAAAGCTGTCCACCATACTGCCCCGAACTACATCACTGACCTAATATCCAAGTACCACCCATCACGCACACTCCCGCTCCTCACAAGACCTCCTTCTCTCTAGTTCCCTGGTCTCCTCCTCCCATGCCCGCCTCCAGGACTTCTCCAGGGTGTCACCCATCCTCTGGAACTCCCTGCCCCAACCCATCAGATTATCACCTACTCTCCTCTCCTTTAGGCGCACCCTGAAAACCCATTTCTTCAGGGAAGCCTACCCCACCCCCTGCTAATTTGCCAACCTTCTCCACTCTTCCTACCACTCCATCCCCCACAGCTATCTCCTCCTGTACCACCATCCCCTCCCTCCTATATTGTAAGCTCGAAAGAGCAGGGCCCTCAATCCCCTCATGTTTTGCATTGTATTGGTATTGTTCTGTCACATGTTCTGTCCCCCTTTGTAATGTACAGCGCTGAGCGAACTATTGGCGCTTTATAAATACTGTATAATAATAATAATAATAATAATTAGGGCTCATGTACACTGCATCTGCTAAACTCACATTTAGGAGCAGTTGAGCGTTTTTTTCAGCAGCCCCTGAACTCTCCTTTATGTTTTCCTATGTGTCCATGTACTGTACACATAGTTGTTTACAGTAGTTTACAGGCAGTTGAGGTTACAGGAATTTTCTTGAAAGCACAAAAATCATGTTCAGGAGTAGAGTTTACTGGCGCTTCAAACACCAAATGATTGTAAACGCGTGTAAACGCGTTTATGCACGTTTGCATTTAGACGCATTTTTGGCTGGTCCGTATCCATATGCTGTCCAGTGCCTTTTTTCTTCTTCATGCATGCACAGTATTTTCCATGTATTCAAATGGACCCAGTACACCAGTGCAGTCAGTTCCAGGTTTTGCATGAAAGAAAAAATGGTAGAATGTGCCGCATTATACTCATAATGGGATTCATAGTGAATACAACATGAAAAAAACAGGTCATCTCAAAACATACTGCTCTCTCTGCTTCTGCTCTCTCTATATCTCCCAAAATGCCTGAGCATACAATTTTGAGGACAAGCTTTCGGGGTATGTCCCCTCCTTCAAGGTCCAGGCAGTACTACACAAAGTATTAGCAAAATGTTAGAAGAGTTGTGGGGGATGAAGAAAAAAAAAAAAAACAGAAAGAAACAAACAGATGTACACAGCAATGGTTAAAAGACTAGGATTCGGCTATGACTCCCTCTGTGAGTGTTGTCCCCCCCCACCCCAGTCTTTGCTTTTGCTGTGTCTTATCTCTAGTTGAATCCTAGTCTTTTAACCATTGCTGTGTACTTCTGTTTTTTTTTTTTTCTTCATCCCCCACATCTCTTCTAACATTCTGCTAAAACTTTGTGTAGTACTGCCTGGACCCTGAAGAAGGGGACATACCCCGAAAGCTTGTCCTCAAAATTGTATGTTAGTGCAAATAAAAAAAGTATCACGTCAGTACTCAATTGTTTCTGTTGCAAGTGCACTAATACGGTTACAATCACCTCTCCCAAAATACCTGAAATAGTTCATTATTTACTATTTTTCAGTGCATTCTGGGCATTTGGGAGAGTCTCCTGAGGTTATCTTTTAAAAACACGCTCATAAACGCAGTAGGTAAACGTGGCTAAACTGACTTTTTTAACTTGCGTTTTCTAGCAGTCAGTTTCCAGCAGTCAGAAGAGTTTCTCATACCCCCTGTGTACATGAGCCCTTATCAAGCGGCCCCTGTGTGACTAGTGCTACAGTTACATCGGTCCAGCTTGGCACAATGTAAGTACTGTATACATATCTCATACCTGACGGTCGGTCTGCTGTGACAGCTAAATATCACTGTAGTAGTCGGTGCTAGTATGGTGATTACTGCTATTTTCAGGATTCTGCTTCTCCACTACACAATGGCTACAGGCAATTTCTCCCTTGGCACTGATGCCATTCATAGAAGGCCTCATTTTTTTAAATGAGTGTAAGGCATTCCCTGATTGGATGAGGTGAAGAGGAGGGGCAATGATGTTAAAGTCTTCACCTAGACTAAGCAGAAAATACCTTGTATTCATTGAAAACTGTGGACAGTATGCAGTGGGGCAGTCCAGAAGATTGAGGCTATCACCATAGTGGCGCCAACTACTACAGAAATTGTCAGCTTCTGCAGCTGACCCTTAGGTGTGAGCAGGGGCGGACTGACAACTCATGGGGCCCCCGGGCAATAGGGGATCATGGGGTCCTTGCCCAAACTCAAAAAAGCCTATGAAAAAGGTACCAGGGGCATCTCATGGGGCCCCCTACTGACCCCCGAGCCCTCGGGCAGTGCCCAAGTTTCCAAATGGTCAGTCCGCCCCTGGGTGTAAGATATGCATACTTAGTTACATAGTTAGTCTGGCTGAAAAAAAGACAAAATTCCATCCAGTTCCATCCCCCTGACTTCTCCATCATGACCAACAACACTACCATCAGTCCCACCCCTCAAGCCAGAGTACTAGGTGTCGTCCTAGACTCCAATCTGTCTTTCCAGCCCCAGGTCCAATCGCTGACAAACTCATGTAGACTTCACCTCCGCAACATCTCCAAAATACATCCGTTCCTAACCCCGGAAACCACTAAGCAACTCATTCACTCCCTTATTATATCTCGCCACGACTACTGTAACTCCCTCCTCATCGGCTTACCTCACCGCAGGCTATCCCCGCTTCAGTCCATCTTGAATGCTGCGGCCAGACTCATCCACCTTACTAACCGCTCCGTATCCGACACACCCCTCTGCCAATCCCTCCACTGGCTTCCGATTGATAAAATTCAAAACGCTAACATTGACGTACAAAGCTGTTCATAATACTGCCCCAAATTACATCACCGATCTTGTCTCCAAATACCACCCAAAACGTACTCTCCACTCCTCACAAGACCTCCTACTCTCTAGTTCCCTGGTCTCCTCCTCCCATGCCCATCTCCAGGACTTCCCCCATCCTCTGGAACTCCCTACCCCAATCCATCAGACTATCCCCTACTCTGCTCACCTTTAGGACCACCCTGAAAACCTATCTATTCAGGGAAGCCTACCCCGCCCTCAGCTGATTACTGAACTCCTCCACTCTGCCTACCACTCCATCCCCCACAGCTATTTCCTCTTGTACCATTATCCCCTCCCTCCTAGATTGTAAGCTCCAAGGAGCAGGGCCCTCGAACCCCTCGTGTATTGAATCGTATTGTTACTGTACTGTCTCGTGTATTGTCTCCCACCTTATTGTAAAGCACTGAGCAAACTGTCGGCGCTATATAAATACTGTATAATAATAATAATCCAGTTCAACCATTAAAAAAAAAAAGTTATAATCCTACACCCACAGTTGATCCAGAGGAAGTCAAAAAAAACCAGCAAACCATGATCTAATTTGCTCCTGCAGGGGAAAATATTCCTTCCCGATCCCCCGAGAGGCAATCGGTTATTCCCTATCTGGACTAATGTAAGTGTACAATAAAAATTATAGCTGTAGTTCAACTTTAAAGTCTATCTAAAGCTTCTAGTTTTAAGGCAATGGGCACATTAAGGCTCCATGCACATGGGCATTTCAAGAACGCTGGTAACATTAGCTGTGTAAAGTCACGTTAAAAAACGTGCCTTTTTCAGCATTTTTGTATTAGCGTTTAGCGACTTTTTGCCATGTTTTTTCGGGTTTGTGTTTACCATTTTATAGAGATTTTTTTCCCAAAAAAATTTCTCTTAATCAAAAAAAATCCAAAAACGCTGGTTTTCCATGATTTACCGTGCTTTACCGCATTTCGCCATTAGAACGTGAGCCCTCATGCACACTTGACGCTTTAACAGCGACTGTTTTTGTTTTTTGACGTTTTTTTCTACAGCTAGTAAACCCCCCACCATGTTATCCTATGTGTCGATACACACATAGACTGGAATCAACATTTTTTGGCTGGGACGTTTACTGCCTGGAAAAAAAAAAAAACCAGGACTAGTGGGTTTCTAGAGTTTTTTAGCTGTAAAAAAGCTCTAACATTGAAAAACGCGGCAAAACGTCCCAAACTGGCATTTTTGGACTTTTTTTTTGCAAAAAAAAGCTAAAGAAAACCGCAAACACAGAAAAACACAGGAAAAAACACTGCTAAACATGGCAAAATGCTGCTAAATGCTAATGCAAAAATGCCAAAAAAACTCACCTTTTAATGTGAGTTTACACAGCTAACGTTACCGGCGTTATCAAAAACGTCCCGTGTGCATGAGGACCTAGAGCGTTTTTACAGCTAAAAAAAACTCCTCTAGAATCCCACTAGTTTGGGTTTTTTTTCCCTGCCAAAAAACGTTGATTACAGTCTATGTGTGGATGGACACATTGGATAACATGCTGGGGGGTTTATTGACTGTAGAAAAAAATGTCTTAAAAGAAATGCAATTTACCTTTTTTATTAGCAAATACAGGTGGAGAACTGGAATTCTCATGCACCCTGCTAGACGGTTCAAAGCTTTTGCAGACAGAGCAGGGGCGGACTGACCATTTGGAAACTCGGGCACTGCCCGAGGGCCTGGGGTCAGTAGGGGGCCCCATGAGATGCCCCTGGTACCTTTTTCATAGGCTTAGGCTTTTTTGAGTTTGGTCAAGGACACAGGGGCCCCATGATCCCCTATTGCCCGGGGGCCCCATGAGTTGTCAGTCCGCCCCTGAGACAAAGTAATGTACTGTCTTTGCGCACATAAGTCTAGGTTCACACCTAAGCATTTTCCAGAAATGCACTACAGTCCATTTAACATGATATCCTATTGGACAGGTTCACAGGTTTCACCTGGTACGTTTTTTGGAAAGGGTCAGGGACTTTTTTTAAACACAAAAAGTTGCGTTTTTGGTTCTACAGACTTCAATGGAGACACTGCAGAAAAGCATGTAGTGTGTTTTTGAAGCGGTTTGCGTTTTATTCTGCCCAGCAACAAGTTGAAAAAAACCTCAAAACACAAAATGCAGCAAAAATTTAAAAGGCACCGCAAAATGCACTGCAGAAACAGATCAAACAGCATAGGTGTGAACCTTGCCTTAGGCCGGCCATACATGGGTCGAAATCCGACTGATTTTTTTTTTCCGAAAATTGGACCTAAGAATAATCGGCCAATTTTCGCTTTGTTAGTGGGTCAATGGCACCGGCCGATTTTCGTGGTTCCTCCCCTTTTCGGTCATGTTGGAAAATCCATGAAAAACGACCGATTTTCGACTCAATGATGGTCAAATCGTACAATCGTTTTTCCGAAAAGAATATGCGCCTGAGCTGTGACTTGGAAGGAACAGAAGTTTAGCCTGTTATATGGGGTGAACTTCATAACTTGGTTGGCCGATTTTTGAAATCATTGATGACACCATTGGATTACCAAGCGAACAAAGTTTTCGATTTTCGGACGAAAAATCTTTTGGAATTTGAACCATGTATTGGGGCAGCACAGTGACTAAATGGTTAGCACTTCCGCCTGGTAGCACTAGGGTTGTTGGTTCGAATCCCAACCATGGCCCCAACTGCCTGGAGTTTGCATGTTCTCCCTGTGCTTGCATGGGCAGGGGCGGACTGACCATTTAGAAACTCGGGCGCCGCCCGAGGGCCCAGGGCAGCAGGGGGCCCCATGAGATGCCCCTGGTACCATTTTCATAGGCTTTTTTGAGTTTGGGCAAGGACACAGGGGCCCCATGATCCCTTGTTGCCCGGGGCCCCATGAGTTGTCAGTCCGCCCCTGTGTGTGGGTTTCCTCCAGGTACTCTGGTTTCCTCCCACACTCCAAAGACATGCTGGTAGGTTAATTGGCTCCTGTCTAAATTGGCCCTAGTATGTGTATGTATGAATGTAAGTTAGGGACCTTAGATTGTACGCCCCTTGAGGGTTAGGGACTGATGTGAATGTATAATATATATGTAAAGCGCTGTGTAAATTGACAGCACTATATAAGTACCTGAAATAAATACATGTATGGCCTGCATTAGAGGAGTTTAGAAACAGGGGCATTTAGAGAAAAATACATCCAGGAGCAGCTGTGTTTTGTCAGAAAACACCTTTGATGTAAACGTGCATTAATGCTAGGTGCGTTTAGCACTTGAGAATTAATTCATTTCAATGGCCAGAATAAATGATTATTTTGGTCAATTAAATGAATTAACACCCAAAGTGCTTGACATGCCTAAATGCGCCTACGCGTGTTTACAAGCGTCAACATTTTTTTCTGCCAAAATGTGCTGCTAAAAGGAAAGTCAAAGATGGCCAAACATCCAGTGTGCATGAGGCCTAATTGTCGTCCACCACTATCAGTCTGTGGCTTTTCAGGCATAACCACAAGCAGCTGGAAGAATTAAAGCCTGTCTAAACAACTTGGGGGGAAATTCCAGAAGGCAGGCTTCTTAGTCCACATTGATGGATGTGCCTGCATTACCCAAGCAAATTATTGCAGAAAAACAAATTTCACATTATCTGTTGCATTTCTGGTACCATACCCATGTCCATCACACCAGTGAAAAGATACAGACCTCTAATTTTTCATGATTTTCAAATACAGAGAGAAAAAAAATTAAGCAAAAACACCTGGCGTTGTTGTATCACTTACTAATGTAATATATCCTTCTGGGACCAGACATATAAATAGTGCACATTCCAATGCCTGCAACTAGATCATTCATCTTAGCATGTATTGTTTTGCTGATTTGTAAATGATCTCCTTGAAAGTGTATTTGGACCTATTATAGTTGCGTTTCAATCTCACAATGTCTCCTGCACTGTATTGAGAAGGAGATTTCAGCCCATATGAAAACTTCTCTGTCCTTGTCATTTATCTGCCCCCAATGCAGTGTGCAAACGTACCCAAAGGCATAACATGGCCAATGCCCAATGTAGCTATCTACACATGCACTGTCCAATCCAATGATTCTTAAAGAAACAGTGAGATAAGACCAGTGCTAAAGGATAGGTTCCCCTTTTGTAACATGTTACATGTTACACCCATATTCAGAGTGTAACATCTAATGAAAGGACTGGCCCACACTCCTTCCCGCTGCCCGTTGTGACAGCTAGAGGAAGAATCTTCTCTCCCTGCTAGCTGTCACATGGCCGCGTCACTCATTCACACTATTCTCCTAGATTGTAAGCTTCAAGGATCAGGCCCTCCTAACCTTCTTGTATTGAACTGTATTGTTGCTGTATTGTCTCCCATTATATTGTAAAGCGCTGAGCAAACTGTTGGCGCTATAAAAATCCTGTATTATAATAATAATATTCTGTAAAAGAGGACACTACAAGTTCTGACAGCCTTTGCGACTGCTGGCTTGTAGATCTCAATAAACTACCAGGGAGCTGTGGAGCACCGTGGTAGTTCGCTAAGTCTTCCTGTCATATTGGCTGGATATTGGCTGGGAAGGCACAATAATCTGGCAAGGAGGAAGTGTATGGACATGGCTTTTATAGGAAGTTCATGGGGGGAGAAAGGAGTTTAAGGTTCAATACAAACAGAGCCAAGGCAGAATCATCCAAAGAATTGTCAAAGGAGCTGTCCAGCATTCCAGGTGGCTCAGTGAGAAGAAACATTGCTTCTCACCACTGAAGGCTCAGGTTCAATCCCGGGCTCTGATACCCTTCTTCCCGGGGTGTGGTGCTGACACCCTAGGGCAAATGCCTTGTTTGCCTTGTGGTAAATATACCCCTGGGTGATGTGCTGCAAACAAAAAGCAGCTTTTCTCATGTCAGCAACAAGTATTTGCCGAGGACCCTGAATTATTGCAGTTAAAGTTGGGTTGAAGCTACAGAAATAGATGTGTAGTCAATTAGATGTTGTACTGACAACTTCTATTTTACCTTTAATTTTCTGATACAATAGTTATTCAAGGTCACTAAAAGATGTCTGTGAAGTCCAGTAGACAACAAAGTTAGACTTACTGCACTCAGTAATCAGCTCTCAGCAACAGAACCAGTGTGGCATATCCCCTCTCTTCTTCTGCTGTACGAGTCTTATGCGTATATTTGTTTGACTGTGTGGGGGTAGAGCAATATACTGCACTGGAGTGGCAGTGTATGAAGCAGCATATCCAAACAAAATGCAATCACAAATCAAAACTCTCAGAAGGACAGAACTAAAAAAAAAAGGCTAAGAATTCAACTGGGCTTTAATAGGGGGTCAGCATGCATATCCAGACTTGTTGGTGTTCATTCAGGAAATAAAATTTGTTGTAGCACTGTCCTCTTCTTTGCAGTACATGAAATCAGTTAATGCATAACTCTCAGTCAGGGGCGGACTGACAACTCATGGGGCCCCCGGGCAATAGGGGATCATGGGGACCCTGTGTCCTTGCCCAAACTCAAAAAAAGCCTATGTAAAAGGTACCAGGGGCATCTCATGGGGCCCCCTACTGACCCCGGGCCCTCGGGCAGTGCCCGAGTTTCCAAATGGTCAGTCCGCCCCTGATAAGACTGCACTAAAGGATAATCTTCATATGTGCCTGAAAATGTAAAGTGGCATAAAGTGGCAATTTAAAGGCATAAGGTTTTTTACCTGAATTAAGGTAAAACACCTTCCAATATCAGCTCCACCAAATACTTACTTGGCTCCTGTTTTGATCCAGCGCTATTCCTGTCTGCCGCATACACTGTTCTCCCTCTCTTCTCACAGGACACAGAGGCAGCAGCAGGAGACATTGGCTACTGCTGCTGTCAATCAAGTCTTGTGAGGAGGGAGCATCGGACGGGGCTGAGCCACACTCTGTGTATCTATGGACCCACAAAGCCCAGCTCGGCACACAGCCTTCTGAGGGGGGCATTCAGAGAAGTGGAGACTGCTCTGTGGGGGACCCCAGAAAAGGAAGCAAATGGCAGTTCTGTGCAATACCATTGCACAGAGCAGATAGGTGTAACATGTTTATTCATTTAAGAAAAAAAATGTGTCTACAACTGCTTTAAGCTGAAAATCACCCAATAATACAATCACTGCATAAACTTCTATCAAACCTGCTAAGCATGTGTGCTTCTCTTGGTAAATGTGAAAATACTTCATATTAAATTGTATATCTAGCCCAAATTTTTTTCTTTTCTAGATAGATATAGATAGAGTTAGAACCCCTGTCAGGTTTTCACTGCTCTCCAGGGCATTCGGTTTTTTTTGCCCATTCAGTGGAAATGTGTATCTTTTCTTCCACCTGGGCAGCCCAAGAGATGAATGGCTGTGCGCTGTTGTACTCAACTATACAGATATACAGAAATGCTATAGGAAACACAAGTACAGCATATGGATATATGCAAAAAATCGAATGTTTTCTATTGTTTGCATACACTCATGCACTGCACTCGTGTTTACAATAGCAATGCCATATAACGGAGAATAGCAGGTCACAGCCATTCATGTCTGGAAGTTGTTTGCTGCACTTGGTCTGGAGGAAAGATGGTAGCAGTAACATTGAATGGGCTCAGCTGCCTGTGTGCAAGGACAAATAGAGAGATTTAGTCTTCTATTTACTGTAGTGCTGAAAATTATTTATTAGACAGGAAGCGAGGGGAAGACTGCAAGCGCAACACAGGCAGAATAGGGTGGGGGCAGACACGAGAACCCTCATGAAATTTTTCCCCTACCCTCTTCAGACAGAGTAGAGCAGAAGAAGGCAAGACCCCCTGTTGGATTTTTGTCTTTGTCCATGTTGTAGATTTTCCCTCACTTTCTGTCTGGTGAAACCAAATTTCAGAAGTGAAGGTAAGGGCTAATGTACACTGCAGCTGATATACTGAAGTTCAGGAACTTTTCTGTGTTTTTTTTGCAGCAGCCTTTCCTATGTATCTATGTACACATCGTCGTTTACAGGCAGTTAAGTTTACAGTTGTTTTTTTTTAACGTACCAAACTTGCGTTCAGGAGTAGATTTTATCAGCGTTTCAAACACCAAATGCTTGTAAACATGTGTAAACGCGGCTAACCACATTTATAAGTGTTTGCGTTTAGAAGCGTTTTTTTTAACTGTTCCTGTCCAAATGCTGTCTAGAGCCTTTTTTCATCATTAGAAACGCAGGCAAAGCATTTTGCATGTATTCAAATGGACCCGGTAAACCAGCGTAGTCAGTTCCAGGTTTTGCGTGAAGGAAAATATGGTAAAAACGTGCCGCATTATGCTCATAATGGGATCCATAGTGAATACAACCAGAAAAGACAGGTCATCTCCACACATACTGCTCTCTCTGCTTCTGTTCTCTCTATTTCTCTCAAAATATCTGAAATAGTTAATTTTTTACTGTTTTTCAGTGCATTCTGGGCATTTGGTAAGGTCTCCTGATGTTTATAAACCGCTTTTAAATGCAAATGCACATAAACGCGGTATACAAACGCGGCTAAACAGACGTTTTTTAACCTACGTTTTCCAGCAGTCAGTTTCCATCGTTCAGAAGTGCTTTCCAAATGTCACGTGTACATGAGCCCTAAATCTCCAATGTGGAGCTCATTTAAACAATTCAAATCTGACTGTAGTTCTAAACCTCCCCTACTCTATCCAAAACTATTAAAAAAGTATTACATGTAGCACTACCACCTGAGGGATTTTACTTGGGTCCCCCTATGCTCTGCACAGCCAGGCAACATGCATTTTCACACTTTACACACTGGAGTCAAAGAACAGGCCTTGAACTTGGTTTTGTGATTTTATTAAGGGGTTAAGAACTTGGATGAGATCCAGGGGTATATGGGATGCCTGAGGAACTGCAGAACTTGAGGACAAACTTTCTAGCAAATATGTAAACAAATGTGGATAGGAACAGTCTCTTTCCCTGAAGAGCACCAAAGGCTCTTTGATGTACCTCCTCAGACCCAGATGATTTCTCTTCACCCTGAGGGTATCCCTGAGCAAGGGGGCCCAAGAGCTGCAGATTGCACCGTTCCAGATGAGAAGCTAATTGGATATTGCACTTGAGTGCCCTCTCCCCTTAGCTGGCCTAGGGGGTGTAAGATCACTCACACTGTCCTCTCCTGATAGCTTGGTGGATTGGTGGCTGCCTTCAGGCCTTACACTGGACTGGCTCCTTCCCTGCTACACAGGCTGTCCTCCCTGTAAGATGCTGAGGCTGTGGAGATCCTCTTTTCCAATGACCTGCCTGTAGGTGGGCTCCCCTCTCTTTAGGCCCCCATCCCAGGCTCCATACTCCATCCTTCCTCAATCCACCTTTAACCCGTCACTGCACACCTCCCCCATGCTCTGGCACATTTGAGGGTTGTCCTGGTCACCATTGTCACGGATCCACGATCGCCACCACCAACATGCGACAATCGCATGACCGCGACTACCAATAATACGTCACGCCCACGGCGTCAGACCCCAGACCTTCTCACCAAACTCGTGACCGAAGGACCGGCCGATCTAAAACCGCGGTGTGATGCGCGTAACAAGGCCCCACCCAGCTGCACCCAGCACAGCGATTGCCCAGCTAATGGACTACAATCGGTGCCTGCAGCCTAAATGCGCTTGTTACTGGGTCGGGTTAATTACGCAACTAACCCTCTACTGCCACCACCACTTTTGTCGGAGACTGGGAAACTCCCGTTATCAAATATACACTATAATGATTGAAATATTGATCTATATAGCACGGCCCGCGGACCTGCTATACAGAGATATACCAAACAGTAGCGTCTCTTCAAAGGCAGGGATTCGTGAATTGCAAATAAGCGCTTAGAAACAGTTTAACACTTCAGAAAGAAAGATTTATTACTAAAAGGGTCAAACAGGTGCGAGACAATATTTACAAAGAGATATCACAAAAATATATATATATGTATATAAAGACACAGCAAAGAGATAATTAGGAAGAAGATTACAGGGTTAAGTTACTTGCCCATATGCCTGGGTTTGCAGATCCAAGTTGTAGAGCAGGGTGATTTCTTGATCTCCTTTTGTTACGATGTTACTGGGAGATCTCTGTGTGTGTCTCTAACTCACTTGTCTCTTCTTAAAAGTCCCTCTCAAAGGGGGGGCTCTGACTACACGTTTTGGGAGTGGTCAGTGGGAAACTCTGAATTAACTACAGCTTCATAATACATGACATGAAACATACGGTTGACCCGAGGAATGTCCAACTCTCTCCCAAGTCCGGGAGAGAAGCTATTATCTGTTTTATGATGTGGGGGGGGGCTTACACAGTTTTGGGGTCAGTGCTTCCCAATTCTCTGAAAAATGCTGCCTTATCAGACGTAGGTGAGAAAGGTTACAGTTTTCCCAGACTGCTGGCCCCACCAGGAATGCTTCTCCTGGGCTGACCCCCACCATCTGTCAGGAGATAACGTTTGTCTCTCAGGACTGGAAAGGGGGGGGGATGTGAGGAATGATCGAGGAATACCTCAAATAACAGAAAAGAACAAGAAAAAGAAGAACTCCGCTTCCAGCTCTGATGAGCTAGTTTGTTACAACCATGCCCAGTCATCTGCCAGGGCATTGGCCAGAGTCCCTCAAACATGCAGATCTGGGCCTCCCCCCCCCTCCTCCACCCATCCTCCAGAAAACTCTCAGGTTTCTGGAGAGGTGGGAGGGCTCCAGAATCCCTGTTAGAGCCTCCCAGTCTGTCTTGATGTAACCTCACTACCTCACTCCCCAGGCTGACTCACCCCCAGGCTGCCACTCTAACTAAAAAAAACTACCTAAGTAACCTGGAGGGTGTTACATACATATAACCTATAAAGCAGCAGTTCAAATAATAAAATCCAAAACGATTCTAGTTTCGCTGTAGATAGGTACACACCTGCATTTTCATAGCATCACAATCAAAGCCATTCAGAAGTTAAGCTTGAAGGCAACTAGTGGCATTTAGCTTGGAGGAAGAATATGTAGAAGATGAATAACAAAGTGAAAAATTAAAGCCAGCTAGCAGGTAGGCTATGTCCCTGAAGTAAGTCAAGCTAAAAATACAAAATGTTCAGCTGTAGTGTACCTTCAATAAAAGACATTTCTAACCAGTATATGCCCTAAATCCATTTAAGGATGGCTGGGGAAGATCAGGAGGGGCACGGGCTGGGTTTAACTGCTCTAGACATAAAAGAAGCACATGTCCATGGTTAGTCTGTATCATGTTGTTATTCCAATGGGCAAGAAAAACTAAGGAAAGAACAAAAACGAGAAAGCTGTTTGTAAATCTTTGGAGGCCCAATTACACTAGGATTCAGTTCATCAAGCAGTGGGCTACTTCTAACAAGTTCAGGGGGTAGCTCTGCTTATTAAAATAAATTCCAACTGAATGTTTTAAGTTTTTGCAAATAATACTTACACACACCAGGCTCCAGCATGTGTAAATGTATCGTTTAATGAAACTTTTTTGGGTAAAACACCGAGACCTCTCATCCTGCAATTGCAATTTGTCTATAGACCCTTTGGCTTCAGTAAATACAAACCAACTATATGTACAACCAATACATTATATGACCTGCCTGGATAAACTGCCAGCATTAAATGGTAGGTGTTTCACACCCTCAATATACAAAATTTTTTCACAACGAAGTGCAGTGCTGCCACCCAAAAAATTTTTTGAGGAATACACTATCGGTTAAAAATTTTAGAACACCCCCATGTTTCCAGTTCCTATTGAAATTAAAACAGTTCAAGTCCAGTGAATACCCTGAAATGGTACAAAAGTAAATGGTAGACTAACAGAGGTGAAAAAAAGGTTAGGTTAACAAAAACTGAAAAATAATGTACATTTCAGAGTCAAAATGTCAAAAGGCCTTTTTCAGGGTAGAAGTAATGGGTTAACGACTCATTTATGCTGAGCACTGTATATATATATATATATATATTGTTATTGAAATATATACTATATATATACCATATATATATGATATATATGTGCATAAATTATTCGTGTTTGCCCTTAATCTTAAACAAAAACACCCAAAAGTCCATGTGCTGAAAACATAATTAAATTGTTGAAATAAAAGTGCAAACTTCTTTTCTTCAAAAAATACTTTCACCTTCCACCCGTGCACAAAACTGACCTAAAACCTTCACCTGAAAAAAAGATAATTGAATTACAATGTCATCACAGAGTGAAATGAATTCATTGGGAAAATGAATTCATTGGTAAACAGCGTCATTGAGAAGAGATGAACATGTTTGATCTGTTCCTTGTTATTTCTTAGACATGGGCAGCTGGGACATGGAGATGTAGAAGATGTCTGGGAACCTCGCATAGTGGAAGCTTTACATGGGGTACCAATGAAAGAAGTGGCAGCTGGAGGATGGCATTCAGCAGTATCAGTGGTAGGTACTATGAGATATTAAAGTGTTCCTAAACCCAGGACCCTGCATTCACTATATTGGTCTCCCTGGACCCTGCATTCACTATATCTGGTCTCCCCGGACCCTGCACTCACTATATCTGGTCTCCCCGGACCCTGCATTCACTATATCTGGTCTCCCAGGACCCTGCACTCACTATATCTGGTCTCCCCGGACCCTACATTCACTATATCTGGTCTCCCCGGACCCTGCATTCACTATATCTGATCTCCCCGGACCCTGCACATTCACTATATCTGATCTCCCCGGACCCTACATTCACTATATCTGGTCTCCCCGGACCCTGCATTCACTATATCTGGTCTCCCCGGACCCTGCATTCACTATATCTGATCTCCCCGGACCCTGCACTCACTATATCTGATCTCCCCGGACCCTGCACTCACTATATCTGGTCTCCACGGACCCTGCACTCACTATATCTGATCTCCCCGGACCCTACATTCACTATATCTGATCTCCCCGGACCCTGCATTCACTATATCTGATCTCCCCGGACCCTACATTCACTATATCTGGTCTCCCCGGACCCTGCATTCACTATGTCTGATCTCCCCGGCCCTGCACTCACTATATCTGATCTCCCCGGACCCTACATTCACTATATCTGGTCTCCCCGAACCCTGCATTCACTATATCTGGTCTCCCCGGACCTTGCATTCACTATATCTGATCTCCCCGGACCCTACATTCACTATCTCTGGTCTCCCCGGACCCTGCATTCACTATATCTTGGTCTCCCAGGACCCTGCAGTCACTATATCTGGTCTCCCCGGACCCTGCATTCACTATATCTGGTCTCCCCGGACCCTGCATTCACTATATCTGGTCTCCCCGGACCCTGCATTCACTATATCTGGTCTCCCCGGACCCTGCATTCACTATATTTGGTCTCCCACAGTACACACTACATGGAAGTGCAATTATTTTAGTAAATATAAACTGAAATACATTTTCTCATCAGCAGTATATGGCAGTCTTGTGACTTCTATCATTGTCCAGCACTGGTTAAAGCTTGTAGGAGGAGTTTTCATTCTCCTCTGAC